GTAAACATCAACAATCCTGGAAAAAAACATGATTAAAGAACACACTCTAATTTAGTGGCAAAGCAAGCTGCGTTAGACCCCAATGCAAATCTACCATGGTCGGCAACAGATGACGATCAACTTTACACATTAAGCTGTGCACATCTGAAAGTAGGTTACTCGTGTAAGTCACACCAAATTAGCAGGAAATACTTAAAGAAAGTCCATTGAAGCTATTTTCATTTAGTTCAGTAATTGTATAGTGTTTCACAGACAAGAGCAACTTAGCAAATTCTATTTTAAACAACAAGTTCATGTACCGGGTAGCTGTTTGGTCCCCATTAACCATGTTAACACTTTCTCTTACATACAAAATGCTTTTATGTTTGAAAGGAACATAAATACATGTACAAAAAAACATATACAGATACATATCCCAGAATATATGATATTTATAATGTCAGGAGATCTCTAGGTTCTCAAAGCACTTCCCTGTGTACGTGAGGCACTCAAGGTCAGCAAACATTTCCTCATTGCAGCATGGGAACTGACATTATTTCAACAAAACGTATGCTAAACCTGTCAACAAGAGACAGTGGAATTTCCGTTTTGTCAACCATTTCAGCAAAGAACATCTCTTGGAGTATCATGTTCTCATGGGCCTTTGTGAAAAAGAAGTGAAATAAATAAATCTCTGAAATGGGCGGAGCTGGGCAGAAAAGGATGTATTTCTTTATAAAGACATTTCTTCGCTTCATCATTTCACGTTATATTGTAAAGGAATATAGATTGTCTGCATTCTCAGGACAGTGAGTGAGTTAGTGAGTGAGTGAGTGAGTGAGTGAGTGAGTGAGTGAGTGAGTGAGTGAGTGAGTGAGTGAGCGAGTGAGTGAGTGAGCGAGCGAGCGAGAGAGAATGGTTTTACACTGTTTTTAGCAATACTCCAGCAATATCACCAGAAATGGGCTTCACACATTGTACCTATGTCAGGAATCGAACCTGGGAACGCTTTAACCACTCGGCTACCCGACCGCCCCTCAGGACATATAGACTCCTCACTCATACAACTGTAGTATCAACACACCAACCAATGCTCCTACTTCAATTAATGACTCCATATCCCTATCATTGTACGGGCGGTCGGGTAGCCTAGTGGTTAAAGCGTTTGCTCGTCACGCCGAAGACCCGGGTTCGATTCCCGACATGGGTACAATGTGTGAAGCCCATTTCTGGTGTCCCCCAGCCGTGATATTGCTGGAATATTGCTAAAAGCGGCGTAAAACCATACTCACTCACTCACTCACTATCATTGTACACTAATATGAATGATATGTCAAACAAAAGTCACAACGCCCTTTGGTTGTAATGTATCCATGGCAATGGCAGTTTTCTGCTTCAGTGGTTCTACACACCTGGCAGGAGATGTAATTAGGGACAGGTGACTCAGAGACAAATAGCGTAATACACGACGTGACAGTGCATCAATTATAACACAAACCCATCTACATTAATAATTAACTGAGAATTAATGACTTGTGACCTTCCAGCCAACAGCGTGACTGTCACTAACAGGAAGAAGACACATTGTCCTATTGTCAATAACAGGCATGAATCTTCTTTCTATCTACGTCAGCAGAGGGAATAGAACAGGATAATTTGTTGTGATGCTTAGAAACCAATATCATGATCATGCTGCGAAAACAAATAAAACTGAGCTTATTGTTGTCAGTCAAAAAGATGCATCACAAAAGCACCAGGTCTCAACAATTGGTTATTTATAAGTCAGGTGTCAGTTGTTGATGAAGAAGTGAAATATTATTTTATTCTTGAACATATTTAACGACCATAAACTGAGACATTGATTCTGATGATCAGATTTGAAATTACTGATATCCCATTTATAACCAGCATATCAAACCTGATGCTTTTCACACATTATTATTATTATCATGTATGATGTGAAAGTAAAAAAAACAACATTCCAAGTAAAAAAAGTAGAATGACTGCTTGATCTTAAAAAAATATTTGTACATACTTCTAATTCTTATGGACCTTCTTAATGCTCCTGAATATTTTGGAAATTACAAAGAAACTAGCCCAATCAAACTTACTTGTGTCAATTGTTACCAACAATATTAATTATAATATTCTGAAAAAATAATGCCATGAATTGTTTGATAGGTATTACTTGGGCATTTCTGGTGTCCCCTGCCATGATATTGCTGGAATATTGCTAAAAGTGGCGTAAAACCATACTCACTCACTCACTCACTCATTACTTAGAAGTTGACGGATGACAAAGTAGACACAATTTATGGATAACAACGTCTTTAATTACTGAGAAGGCCATGCCATGCTTGCAATCCCACAAATACATAAATGTGGTGTGAGAATTCAGTAAGCATGAGGACACAGTACAAAAACAAAGTATCTCAAACAGTTGAAATGACTCTGCATGCATGTCTCCTCTTGTTGCTCCTTCCAAGGTCTCAGTGGGTGACATGGTCAACTGTTGTACATGATATCCACTAACTCCTACGTACGTTCAAGTGATTCCTGTACACACCCCACAGAGGTACAGAACTTGATAACTGATCCTCGATCATGATCGTTCCTTGACAAGATCATGATTTCCTTATCTTGATCATTCCTGGATAAGATCACGACTTACTACCAGCTATCTGTCCCTTCCTAGGAAAATAAACTGGTATGATCCTAATGATTATTTGACAATGGCAGTCACCCCCTGCAGCATGACAAGGTATTTACAACCTTGTGAGCACTGTAATAGCTAATTATTCTATCTAATTGAGTTGCACATATTTAGCATTGTTGTGACAATACGTACATAGCAACGTGCATGGTTTGGTAACAAAAAGTTGAACACTCTTCAACCCATGAGATCAAATTTAGTAGGACACTAGAATGTACATCATATATCAAGATCTATTGTGATGTATATATTGTGGAAGGCTGTTTATCATCTTAAACAGAAATCTGAGATAACGGGGGGAAATATTTGTGAACTCAACACATGCAATTAACAGTCAGGGTGGCCTCTTATCTACACGGCAATTCAATTCCCATAACTCAGTAGAAATTCAATTTGGCCTGTTTTTGCACTTTTTCCCTTTTTGTTATCAAAAAAGTATTAACTTACACGAAGAAAGACACAAATAGTACACACTGATTAAGTGTGACATTAACTTGTTGGAATGAAACAATGAATCAGATTATTCAAAAGGAAATAAAGTCAAAATCAAGGACCAGTAATCAATGTTTTAAATAGGTTCTGAAATATTCTGCTTACAATAAAGTATAACTTCAAATAAAGGGATAAAAAACTCGGGTTTGTTTCTATAAATGAGACTTCTAAATCACAAATTTAAAGAATTGAAATAGCCTCCCATGAATGTAGAGTCAGACAAGCTTATAGTTTGACTTACATGACCATGATCGATTGATCTGAGCTTTAGCATAAGACAATGGAGAAAAATAGTTTTATTTAGTAGAGCAATGTAGAACAGATGTTCTGTTACACAGGTTCCTTTGGTATATGAACCAAATGTTCACCCTTTCACACATGTTCATCGTCATGATATAGAAGAAGCCAACTTCACTCACACTTAATAGTTGACTGGTTAGATAGGGATCACGTCATTTTCAATATTATGACATTTGGGCAAGTGAATTCTGAAGTGAAAGATGTAAGTTTACCTGACTTCCATCTATTTTAACGCCTGGAAATTTTGTTGCTACTAAAATACCCAGCTAAACCTGATAACACAATACTTTCCACACATCATCAGTCTTTAAACTCCTGTATTGTTGGGCAGGTATGTAAATGCCACTTGTGATGGGTGGCACATTGTAACATAGGTCATACTACACTCTCATGCTAGGTATAAATTATATATTAGCATACATGATGCAAATACTATACAGAAAGAATGTCAAACACTAGCATGCCCATCTTAGATTCTTCTTAACTCAATGAAAACATATCAAAACATGTCAACAAATATTTTAAGATATTAAAGCAGATTCATTCAGTTTCATAGTTTACTGTTTTATGCCTTTGTCATTCAAACATCCATATATTTTATTTTAATCGTCTCTCTTAACAAAGATGATATTGACAAGTCAAAACATATTTTACTACATTCTTCTTACCATTTGCAATTCAGGATATAAAAAGTTATTGTCAAAAAAGAACATGCATATTGTTCATATTATATAAAATATATCCTTAAAGGTTTTCTCATAAGACACTTCTCCAAAATCAGGCATCAAAGTAAACAGGCTAACAAGAGTTCCTCCCAGAATTATGGTCAATACTGACTCATAGTGGCAGCATAATATCCAATTCAACACTGTTATACCAAGCCTTCATCAAACATTATGTATTCCACATATTTCCCTAAGATTGGTGGCATAAATATCATTACTCAACAAAAACACTTTCGGTCTTTTATCGGAACATTCTAGTCTTTGTGAAGAAATCTGGGAATTTGGGGGTCGGACGGAAATATGTATTTTCAATGGGAATTGGATCCTGTGTGTGTTTAATTGCATGACTCACAAACACTGGAATTTCATAATGCCATTCTCAACAAAATTAAGTTTAAACGTCATCCCCTCTAAACATTGCCAAGTCAAATAGAATAGATGTTTTTGCAAACTCCACACAAATTTTGGAAGATTCATTAAAAAAAGGTTTCTGTGAACTCACAAATTATCAAGATAAGTCAGCTTTTTCCACATGTTACATTTTATTGTTTTCGGATCCCTGTGAGAAGGCACACACACGATGTCATGTACCAGCCTGGCAAATAGTGCTGGCCCTATCATTTTTCAGACAAAAAAGTCAAATATTGCTACAGGTAACAACTTGATGACAAAATGTGACAGAATTTCGAAAGGTGAACTTCACATTCTGCTAAATCTTCTGTATCAATAATTATTGTTAAACATTGTGTTTGTATCAGATGACATGACAGGGCACTGTGAAGTCAACATACCTGGAAATCTTGTCAACACTTGCAGCCGATGCGACAACTTGGACCAAACACTTCAACATGATAGATGTCAAAAGTCACTCATCACAAACAGACATTGATAACATTCTTGATTCAAAGGAACTGTGGCCTATTTAGTAGATAGATGAGGTAGATGTGGCGTACAAAGTCCTGTAATGAATTTCTATCAATATTGTAGATAGTCCTTCAAAAAGTTCGGTGCCAAAGGACTTGTAAATTTGTACGTCGATATCCTTTGAATGTCACCCTCTAATGCAACTCTTCATATTCTTCAAAGGTCTTCAATATATGTTTCTGGTTGTAGCATGGATCTGTGAAGGAAAGAAAACATGATTAGAGATTGGTATGAGGAGTGCCAATGTTCTGCTGTGAAATACGGATACAAAGTCAAACAACTCCAACAACATTTACTTGGTGTAAGATTATTCTTAATATGAGTGAGTGAGTAAGTATGGTTTTACGCCGCTTTTAGCAATATTCCAGCAACATCACGGCGGGGGACACCAGAAATGGGCTTCACACATTGTACCCATGTCGGGAATCGAACCCGGGTCTTCGGTGTGACGAGCGAACACTTTAACCACTAGGCTACCCGACCGCCCCTTCTTAATATGAACAGAATGAGGGCTGGACTGACTCACCCAAGTACAGATGCATCGCAACACTTTGTGCCATGATACAAATATCACATCATGAGGTCTTGTATCTAAACACAACTAAATATAATGGTGTAACACAAACTATGCCCTGCAATAAAACAGCATACAAGCCGCTGACACAGAACCATATTACCTTCAACACGTAACACCGTGACATATTTAAGCATCCCTTGGGTAAAAGGAAATTATTTATTTACATTAAAGTGTCATCAAAAGATTTTTTCTTATTCTAAATATACAAAAACACTCGGGCTTTCATTCTTCCCTAACACTTCCCCATCAATATTTCCTCACATATCAAGCATGTCCTCACAGCAGTGTGCCAGCACTTCCTCTCATCTCACACATTAAAATCTGTTTGAATGCGCTTTCTGTATCAATATCTTATGAAACACCCACTGGTCTTGTGCAAATGTTTTCTATCAACTCCACAAACAGTTTCTTCAACAGTTGAGTTTATTTTTATGTCAAGAATAGGCACTTAATCAGAAACTGAAAAACTTTCCAGATACGGAATTACAAAGAAGAAATATCCTGTTTTCTCCGACCCCTTCTCCATCCTCAATGCCTTAGTTGTTTAAGAGATCCAGGAAAAGCGGAGTCCTTATGTAGTGAGGTCATCTGCCTTCCTGATATAGATACAAATACTTGCCTTGGCTTATCATCATACATTTCTTAAGTCACATTGAAGTCACATTTGGCATTCATAACTGATAGAAGTTTGGAATAACACAAGTTGTTGTTACTGTATTAAAAAATTTCAAGTCATGTTATGCTCTGTTCATGTACTGTTCATTTTTTCCTCTATCAACTAATATCATGCAGTCTTTTTTTTTAAATAAGACATCGTTTTCAAACATTTTCAAACATCATTTATAATTCTTAGCAAGATAATCATAATCATACTGTCAAATGTTCCCTTTAAAAACTAGTGAAATTTCAACAAATATTATTTAATGATCACACTGATTTTTAAAACAAGATAAATTGTTTGGGATAGCCAAAAATCCCTCAAGACCATTAAAATGCAACTGCCAAGCCCAGAAGTAAGATTAGCTCTACTCACATAGGATGAAGCATCACAAGAATGATGACATGTATTCCCTTCATTTCTTCCATGAAGATCTACTTATTTGTTGAACAAATTTACAAAGAAATAGTAGATAAAATCCAGACCTGTCAACCCCTCATCATGACAATGTGGGAGATTTGACTTCAAAATGGGGGAGATTTGCCTCCAAAGGGGGAGATTTTTAAGATAGTGAAGATAAGATAATTTCCAACTTTTATTTTTAATAATGTTACAAAGAAAACCAAATATTTTGAAACAATAAATAATCAATAAGTTTCTTATACGAACATGTACAACTTGCTTAATTTCCGTTTGCATTTTCCTCCTCCAAAAATAAACCCAGCACAATCTACCCATATAACTTTCGTTCAAAGATCATCTCAGATAAACGCAAACAGATATTGAAATTTCACAATCAGTAGCTTGACCAGTTGACGACGTGTTCAATCCGACCAGTTGTCAGGCTTCGTTCCGATGCAGGTTTTCTGAGTATTTGGCGCGATGTTGGTTACAAAATTCGCCAAAGAAATATCAAATGCATTTATCCTGACGCAACATCATCGCCCTTAGTTTCAATAAGATATACTGGGTTTTTTCTGTCTGCGGTAGTCTGTTGACAGTCCCATTACTTCGCTTCTTAAATTTCCTAGAAATGTTCACGTTATTCCATTCCAAGAAATGTATGCCATATTTGGAAGTACTATTACGTTTTACTACAATTTATGAATGAAATGAGTCTCGTTGTCGTTGTTGACCTTTCTGACCTTGACGTGTATTAATCTCATTGGTTGACTAGTACTGTTGTATGCAAATTAGATTGCAGATCTGGGACGCAAGCAAACTATTAGCCAATCAAATCGTGTAAAATAATCACATGATACATTCTCGCAAAATTTGATAAAGTTCTGTTTTGATATTTTCTGTGCACACAAGTCACGATGTCAGTCAAAAGGAAATTTGTAAGTTTCACTTTAAACTTTGACTTTGAAATCCTGCTGTGAGGAAGCCTGATCGTGTAACTCATTGTTATTTCGACTACCGAATCAACCAATCACGCATAGTGTTGTTTCTGAAGACGGCGCTTGCAGGACATATTTTGTTTTCATTTCCAAGAGTTCAATGACGTAACTTTGAGGTATGTTGATGTTTTAACAAAGTTTCTGACAAATCTGATAACCAATAAAGTCATGTATAACTGGACCGGCCATATGTATCTACGTTCTTAAATTATGGAAGAATAAACACGCTAAGAACATGAAGACAACAGTTCATTTCATGAAGTGATGAATACTTGGCTGATTTTTCATTTCAAGTTCAACCCTTCAGGCACCTGTTAGTACTATCCGAGTTTTCTTAACAGTTTACATTGTTCAATCGTTCACCATATGAATTTAATTACCATTTGATTACTGGACAAAGGCCCATCTGGGTCCCCCTGCGGGTGGCTGTGATAAGGGTCGCTAATCCGGGAGCCTACCGGACAGATCAGGACGCAAACTTCCCGTTCATTGTTTTCACTCACGGGACAATGAGGCGATTTTTTTAAATAATGAAGAATTCTGTTTTGCGGGAGAAATAGTCCATCTTGCGGGAGACTGGGAGATTTCATCAAATTGCGGGAGTCTCCCGCAAAATGTGGGAGGGTTGACAGGTCTGAAAATCTCGCACAGTTGGAGGCCCATAACACAATTACCCAAACCAGAAACCTATCATTTACCAGTCGGACGCGACCCCCCACCAGGTGATGCAGAGAAAGTGAGACTCACCTACCCTCCCAGGAGCTTCAGATCAACAATACACGTCTCCTCTCTAACTAAGTCCTTTTGTGTATAGATACAGATAGACACTTCAAATTGTACCGCAGATTTTCAACACCTCCTATAGGTGAACCCTTCTCATATCTCTGATTCGATGCTAGGGTCTGCCCAGATACCCAACGGGTCTCAAGTATTCATGACTTTAGACCAGGGGATTGGCCGATACTGCTGTCATTCCAACGTTTTGTTCTCAAAAGCAACACTGAATGTAACGGTTGATAGTACTGTTATCAAAGTCTTATTGCTTGACATTTGTGATAGGGCAGGCAAGTCCAAATGCTGTCATCGGTATTTTGTTGGGAATATTCTATGTGACCAAGTACAGTTTGTCTGGCGATCCGTTAGCAAGCGTAACACAAAGAATCAATCAGGCATACTATCTAGTTTACCACCGCTGTTATGTTCGGTGTGAGTTGCATTGTAGTTTTTTCTCCCCTTAAAAGTTCGACCTAACTTGTCTTCCGCCATTGTAGAGATTAGATCCGGTCACTGAATCATTATCATTTCTTATATTGATACCTGACAGGGCTGTCCTTGTTAGTTCATGGAACTATACCCATTATTCACCTGATGAAGGAGTAAGCATATACCCTGAAACGTTGTGTGCCTCATAATAAAGAAGTTGACATCCATAACTTCTCTTCCTTCCACCCATTACTGTTAAAATGGTGGCACATTTCTAGCAGCTAACCTTTGAAATTGTGTCCATAATGTTCACATGGCATCTGTATTTCTAAACTTGTTAGGCTAAGTTGTACATAGAGGAAAAAATTGCACATAAATAATAAGTGGGAGAATAGTGAAGCACATAGTAGCAGCTTGAATGTAAACAAGCCTGAATAACCCTCACAAGTGTTCAGTCTAGTGTGCAACATTTCATGCTATTGGTGAAAATGACAAACAACCAAGCGACAGCGCTTGTAAAGATATAGTGGTCTGGTGATAATAGTTTGTTCTTATGACAAGAAACAAAGAGAAAATTTCTACACAAAAACATTGTTCAACATTTTGTCAAAAAAATTCAAATACCTGTAACATGTTTATTATCAGGTTATTATCACTTTTGATAAAGGTCCCAACTTTCTATGAGTGAATATTTTGTTTAAAGTTTTCCAATGAGTTTTGTTGATTAAGAACATATTAATATTATCAAACACATTAGTTTCACTTCCCATATGGCTTTCCTGGAACAATAAATCTTCAAAACTGGAGTGATTTTATCAAAGCTTTCCTTACATCTTATCCCGAGTCACACAAGCACAATGATAGCATTATAAATAAGGCTGTCAAGTCTACGTAGTGCAAGGGCAACAAGTCACTCTTGTCCTATAATACCAAGTTAACTTGATTCAGATCCTTGTGGCTGCCCCTTCAACAAACAGCAGCTTTTAGGATAATCCTTTATATTTTCATTTCCTGTCAGCTGAGTTATAAATGTCTTTATTTCCTTCCGAACAACAATCTGTCTTTTTACTGTGAACATATTTCATACATCTTTACTCATGTTAATGTTTGGAAATGCAAATTATCTGTGGAACCGATGAATACCAATGCAAGTTAGCGGTTACATTATTTTCATGTATTACATTATATGGTATATTTGACAAACACAACGACCTGTTTATATTTGATGTGAGCTGTGACTTGGAAATCCTTCCGACACCAGGAAGTGCTATCAAAATGTGAGATTTGAACCTAATGACCAATTAAACAAGTAATACTTTAAAGGGGTAATTTCAAACTGTCGTTGGGTTATTCAACAT